CCTTCCTTCCTCCCCCCTTCCTTCCTTTTCCTTCCTTTCTTTTCCTTCCTTCCTTCCTCCCTCCCTCCCTCCCTCCCTTCCTTCCTTCCTCTTCCTTCCTTCCTCACTCCCCCTTGCTTCCTTCCTTTGTTCCTTCTTCCTGCCTTCCTTCCTGTCTCCCTTCTTTCCTCCCTCTCTCCCTCTCCTCTCCCCAGCCTTCCCCTCCCTTTCCTTCCTTCCTTTTCCTCCCTCCCTCCCTCCCTCCCCCCTTCTCTCTTCCTGTTGTGCAACCTGGTGTCTCTTCAGAACGGGAAGGAGGTGTCACTGCCAAAGAAGACCTGCGCACGAAACAGCGCAACTTTCCAGGCGGTGACACCCCCTCACCCCCCCCCCCCCCCCGCTGCCTTTGGCCCCTTGTGTGTGCGCTCTGTGCATCTGGATCGACTGGCGGTCCTCCCGCATCCCTCTCGAGGCGCCACCTTGGCCGCTTGCGGGGGGGACTTCAACTCCCAGAATCCCCCAGCCAGGAGGAATCCTGGGAGTTGAAGTCTCCAAGTCTTTAAAAAGTAACCCAAGTCGGACGCCCCTTTTACTCCAGACTCCCAGCCAGGCCCAGTGGGGATGGGAGCGCGCTCTGGGACAGACACACACACGCGCACATGCGCACGCGCACTAACCCCACCGCCTCGGTCCTCTTCTTATGGCAGTGGAGAAGTGGCAGGCCCTCTACACCATCCTGGAAGCGTTTGGGAACAGCAGCACCAGCCTGAACAGCAACGCCACCCGGTTCTCCCAGATTATCTCGCTGGACTTCGACCAGGCTGGCCAGGTGGCATCGGCCTCCGTGCAGGTGACCCCTTGGGGGGGCGGGGGGGGCGGTGTTGTTGTGTCTTTTCCCATAAGCCCCTCGTCTCTCTTTCCCACCGCTCCCTTCTAGGCGCCGAGAACGACAGCGTGAGGAGTTCTCGATTTACGGCCCAAAACGGAACTGCACGTTTATGTTGCTAAGGGAGACAGTCGCCACAGGAGTTTTGTCACATTGAACAACCTTTTTTTTGGGGGGGGGGGGGGGGGGCCACGGTGGTGAAGTGAGTCGTTGCCATTGTTAAGAGAGTCGCACCGTCGTTAAGTGAATCCGGCTTCCCCGTCGACTATGCTTGTCGGACAGTCGCAAAAAGGGAATTCAATGGCTCGCGGATACTGCAAGTGTCATAAGTATGAATCACCGGCCAAGCGTCTGAATTTTGATTACGGGACGATGCTGTAATGGTCGTAAATCCAGTCCTCTTAAAGCAGTCTGGCCGGGGGATTCTGGGAGTGGAAGTCCTCCCCTCTTAAAGGATGCTGGCTGGGGGATTCTGGGAGCGGAAGTCCTCCCCTCTTAAAGGATACTGGCTGGGGGATTCTGGGAGTGGAAGCCCTCCCCTCTTAAAGCAGGCTGGCTGGGGGATTCTGGGAGTGGAAGCCCTCCCCTCTTAAAGCAGGCTGGCTGGGGGATTCTGGGAGTGGAAGTCCTCCCCTCTTAAAGCATCCAGGCTGGGGGATTCTGGGAGTGGAAGCCCTCCCCTCTTAAAGCAGGCCGGCTGGGGGATTCTGGGAGTGGAAGCCCTCCCCTCTTAAAGCAGGCTGGCTGGGGGATTCTGGGAGTGGAAGCCCACCCCTCTTAAAGCAGGCTGGCTGGGGGATTCTGGGAGTGGAAGCCCTCCCCTCTTAAAGCAGGCTGGCTGGGGGATTCTGGGAGTGGAAGCCCTCCCCTCTTAAAGTGGCCACACTTGTATGGTTGAGGCTGTCTGGCCCCTGGTTGAGGCTTGTCCGGCGATGCCACCAAGGACAGAACTTGCACCTCCTACATCCTGGAGCGCGAAAACCCTTGACCAAGCCAAGAGAGTCACTCCCACCCTCCAAAGCTGGGGAGAAACCCAAGCGATCTGTCCTTAGAGGCTCCTGCTGCCACGAGGGGTGCCCAGGCCAAACCCCCTTTTCCCCAATTCCTTTCCTCAGACCATGTTGCTGGAGAAACTGAGGGTGGCGAAGCGTCCGTCCAACGAGTCGACCTTCAACGTGTTCTACTATCTCCTGGCCTGTCCGGACAACGCCTTACGGTAAGGTGACTCTCAAACTCTCCAAGATCTTTTGAGGAGGCCTCAAAAACCGGGTGCTATGACAGGAACGGGGGGGGGGGAGGGAAGGAGGGGCCTTCAGGGTTGCCCTGTTTTCATCTGGGCTGCTTCCATGCCTGCCGGAAGGGACGTCCACCTTCATAGGTTGCCCACGGTGTGGGATATGAGGGCCAGTGGATCTCGGGGGGAAGATTCGGCGCAGCAGCAGCCCAAAAAAGCCAATGCAATCCTAAATTGCATTCACAGAGGGATACAATCGAGATCAAAGGAGGTACTAATATCACTCTATGAAGCCTTAGTAAGAGCCACACCTGGAATCCTGCATCCAGTTTTGGTCACCACATTATAAAAAAGGTGTTGAGACTCTGGAAAGAGGGCAGAGAAGAGCAACCAGGATGATGAGCGGACCCGAGACTAAAACATGCGATGAACAGTTGCAGGAACTGGGCCTGGCTAGTCTAGTCAGTCTGTCTGTCTGTCTGTCTGCCTACCTATTGTCTGTGTCTCTGTCTGTCTGTCTATCATCTATCATCTCTATCTATCTATCTATCTATCTATCTATCTATCTATCTATCTATCTATCTATCTATCTATCTATCTATCATCTTAGCTGTATCATCTATTTATCTATCTCTTTCTCTATCTCTTTCTCTTTATCTCTCTCTCTCTCTCTCTCTCTGTATCATCTATCTATCTCTTTCTCTTATCATATCTATCTATCTATCTATCTATCTATCTATCTATCTATCTATCTATCATCTGTGTCTCTGTCTGTCTGTCTATCTATCCTATTTATCTATCATCTCTCTCTCTCTCTCTCTCATCTGTGTCTTTGTCTATCTATCTGTCTAGTCTAGTCTAGGGAAGAGAAAGACCAGGGGAGACAGGAGAGCAGCCTTCCAATATTTGAGGGGCTGCCCCAGAGAGGAGGAAGGGGGGTCAAGCTATTTTCTCTAAAGCCCCCGAAGGCCAGACAAGGAATAATGGATGGAAACTGACCCAGGAGACATTCAACCTGGAAATGAGGAGGAATTTTCTGTCAGTGACAACAATCGACCGATGGAACAGAAGTTGCCTTCAGAAGTTGTGGGAGCTTCATCACTGGAGGCTTTCAAGAAGAGTTTGGACTGCCATCTGTCAGAAATGGTGTAGGGTCTCCCGCTTGGGCAGGGGGTTGGAGTAGATGACCTCCAAGGTCCCTTCCAACTCTGATTATCTGTTATCTGTTAACCTGTTCCTTCTGGTGACATCCTCTCCCTCCATCCTCTCTTTGCAGGACCGAGTTGCACTTCAACCACCTGGCTGAGAACAACGTCTTTGGCATCGTGCCGCTGTCCAAGGTACCCGGGGCTGTTTGGAAGGGTGGTCTTTTGCCTGGACCGCTCAGGAGCAGGACAAGACCTGAGATTGATGTTGGCCAATATCTAAGAAGCCTAAAAGTCTGCGGAGATTCTCCAGTCATCCAGGTCACAGTTGTCCAAAGGTTCTTTTTTTTTTTTTCACGAGGCAACTCGACTTCCTGTTTTTTTTTTCTTTTGAAGAGGTTTCGCTTCTTATATAAGAAGGTTCTTCAGCTCTGACCAGATGGAGGGGAAGGGAAGGATTGAAACTCCTTGCAGGCAGCTGGTCATTTGCATCCTTTTTAGAGGGTCGTTGAGGCCCCTTGGTTTGTCTGTGTCCTCAAGGTCTTTTGAAGAGGTTTCGCTTCTCATCCAAGGAGCTTCTTCAGCTCTGACTGGAGATGTGGGGAAACGGAAGGACGGATACTCCTTGCAGACAGCTGGTCATTTGCAGCCTTTTTAGAGGGTCGTTGAGGCCACTTGGAGGTTTTTCTGTGTCCTCGGGGGTCACCTGAGTGGCGCAAATGGGTGTGGAACTGCTGGAAGGACTGCGTTGTAGATTGGAGACAGGTGAGGTTGTATCCCTCTTCTTTTCACAGAAGACTCCCCACCCATTTGCACCACTCAGGTGACCCTGAGAAGACACAGACAAACCTCCAAGCGGCCTCAGCGACCCCTTAAAAAGGATGCAAAGAACTACCTTTGTCCGCAAGGACTATAAATCCTTCTTTTTCTCCGCCATTCGGTCAGAAACCTCTCGGATGAGAAGCAGGACATTTTCAAAGAAAACCAGAAAGTCCAACGGCCTCCTGAAAAAAAATAAATCACCTTTGGGACAACCACAACCTGAACGATGGAGACTCTCTACAGACATTTAGCTACGGAAATTGGGATGAACTTTCTTGGAAGGGTGGTGGGAAAAGGAACGAATTTCCAGAGGAAAATTGCAGACTACGGGAAAGTGCAGATTCAGGTGACCCTGAGAAGACACAGATAAACACCCAAAGTGGCCCCAATGACCCTCTCAAAAGGATGCAAATGACCAGCTTGGTCTGCAAGGAGTAGAAATCCTTCCCCACCCCATCCAGTCAGAACTGAAGAAGCTTCTTGGATGGGAAGCGAAACGTCCTCAAAACCAGAAAGTCCAGTGGCCTCCTGAAAAAAAACAAAAACGCACCTTTGGGACGATCTTGTCTGCTGAATCCGTGTCTTCTTCCCCCACCAAAAAACGATACCAACTGGCCTCTCTGCTGGAACAAAATCAGCACCAAATGAGCCGGCTCGCTCTGCGTTGCCGAGTTAAGTTCTCTTTCCACCACCCCCGTGTCTAAAAGGGGTTTACGCCAAGTTTTAATTAAAGGCTTATCGGCTTTTTTTTCCATATCCCCGCCGGGAGAAGGGATTGGACGGAGATCTCCCGGCCTAACCTGGCTCTAGCGGAGTAACCCTCTTGGCATCCTTGCAGGCGGCGCTACCCATAAAAGGCTGGTGGCGTTGTTGTTTTTTACAATAGTCTTCCTGATTTTTTTTATTTTTTTAAAATTTCTTCCTTCTCTTTGGCTGCAGCCGGAGGAAAAACAGAAAGCGGCCCAGCAGTTCAGCAAACTGCAAGCAGCCATGAAGGTGATGGGCATCTCCGGCGAAGAGCAGAAGGCCTTCTGGCTCGTCCTGGGAGCCATTTGCCACCTGGGGGCGGCTGGAGCCACCAAAGGTACGTGGGTGGGTGGGTGGGTGGGGGGAGGAAATGACACCCACGTAGCGTTTTAGCAACCACCCCACGAGGCTCGGAGACTGACCCTTCACCCTCCTCCTGCACCCGAGTTATAGATCTGGAAAGATCTGGAAAGAGTGCAGAGAAGAACAACCGAGAGGTTTGGAGGCTAAAACGTTAACGACGGATGGTGGCAGGAACTGGGCATGGTTACTCCGGGGGTGAGCAACGGATGGAAACTAATCCATAGAATAGAAATTAGAATAGAATAGAATAGAATAGAATAGAATAGAACAGAACAGAACAGAACAGAACAGAACAGAACAGAACAGAATTCTTTATTGGCCAAGTGTGATTGGACACACAAGGAATTTGTCTTTCGTGCAAATGCTCTCGGTGTACATAAAAGAAAAAATTCATTCGTCAAGAGTCAAGAATCATCAGGTCCAACACTTAATAATAGTCATAGGATACAATAAAAATAGAATAGAGTAAGAATAGAATAGAGTAAGAATAGAATAGAATAAGAATAGAATAGAATAGAATAGAATAGAAACAGGAGTAGAATAGAATAAAAACAGAATAGAATAGAATAGAATAGAATTCTTTATTGGCCAAGTGTGATTGGACACACAAGGAATTTGTCTTAGTGCAAATGCTCTCAATGGACATGAAAGAAAAGAGACATTTTGTCAAAAGTCAAGAATTATCAGGAACGACAGTAATAGTCACAGGGCACAATAAGCCATCAAATCATACTAGGAAACAGTTGATATAAATCGTTAGGATACAAGCGACAAAGTTACACTCATACAGTCACAAGTGGGAGGGGATGGGCGATAAGGAGTGATGAGAAGATTAAGAGTGATAGTAATGCAGACTTTGTAAATAATTGGACAGTGTTGTGGGAATTATTTGTTTAGCAGAGTGATGGCATTCGGGGAAAAAACTGTCCTTGTGTCTAGTTGTTCAGGTATGCAGGGCTCTATAGCGTCGTTTTGAGGGTAGGAGTTGGAACAGTTTATGTCTGGCATGTGAGGGGTGTGTAGATATTTTCACAGCCCTCTTTTTGACTCATGCAGGATACAGTCCTCAGTGGAAGGGAGGTTGTTAGCAATTGCTATTTTCTGCAGTCCTAATTCCTCTCTGGAGTCTGCGTCTGTCCTGTTGGGTTGCAGAACCAAACCAGACAGTTCTAGAGGTGCAGATGACAGACTCCATCCTTCCTCTGGAGAACTGGATCAGCAGCTCCTTTTGGGCAGTTTGAGGTTCCTGAGTTGGCGCAGAAAGAACATTCTCTGTTGGGCTTTTTGGATGACGTTTTCGATGTTTAGGTGTCCATTTTAGGTCATGTGATATAGTAGAACCTAGAAATGTGAAGGTCTCTACTGTCGATACTGTGTTGTCTAGTATTGTAAGAGGTGGTAGCATGGGAGAGAAGCAATCTGGAACCAAGGAGAAATTTCCTGACATTGAGAACATTAACCACTGGAACTACTTGCCACCAGGAGTTGTGGGTGCTCGATCACTGGAGGTTTTTAAGAAGAGATTAGACTGCCACTTGTCTAGAATGCTGTAGGGTGTCCTGCCTGAGCACAGGGTTGGACTAGAAGATCTCCAAGGTCTTTCCCAACTCTGTTTCCCCCCTTCCCCCCCCCCCCACAGTTGTTTAATGATCCCGTAATCCCTTGCGGGGCGGAGACTGAGCAATTGAATAGAGTTTTGAGTGTTTACTGGCCGGATGCCCTTCCTATCTCTAATGCGGAGTTTTGTTCGGCAGATCTATTCTCATGGTGCCCAGAGAAATATCAGCCTCTACCTAGGATCGAACTCACAGCTTCCCAATTGTGAGGCGAGAGCTCCAACTCTTGTTATGCTGCTAATTCATTAATTAACCGATCGGTGGGGGTCGTGGCAGGTTTTTAAGAAGAAACTGGACCGCCCCTTGTCTGGAAGGGTATAGGGCAATGGCGGCTAACGGTTTCGGGCTAAAAATTTTGTGCATGCTTGCGCTTGTGTGCCGGCACCCAGAAAGCAATGCGTGTGCCCCCCAACCCCTGCACATACACACACAATTCCTCCCACCCTCTTACCTGAGGTGTGCTTCATAGCTGATTTTCGGGCCGTTTGAGGCCTTTTTTCCACCTCCCAAAACCCCCCGGCAGGCTTTGCAGGATGAATCATAGGCCCGTTTTCGTCACTTCCTGTAAGTGACGGAAACGGGCCTGTGATTCATCCTGCAAAGAGGATTTTTTTCAAGCCTCTGGGAGGAGGTAAAAAAGGCCTCAAAGGGCCCAAAATTAATCCGGGAGACGTGCGCATGCGCAGTGAGGTAACTTGGCCTGCGGCTCGTGTGCCGGCACAAATGACTCTGTGTGCCACCTGCGGCACGCGTGCCATAGGTTCGCCATCATGGGTATAGGGTCTCCTGCTTGAGCAGGGGGTTGGACTACATGACCTCCCAGGTCCCTTCCAGCCCTAGGTTTCTATTTGGGCCACATCCTTCCCTTTCAAGAAAAGCCCAGCTTCTGTCTCCAAGTCGAAAAGAGGGACGATCCCTCATTGCTAAGAGACCCCTGCGGTAGAATAACACTAACACACATGCGTGCGCACACACACACAAACACACAAACACATGCACAACTAGACCATCTGGAATTATCCACAACCTGCTTTGGCTGGTTTCTGCTTATCTCATTTATTTGAAGCGATTTTCTCTGGGGTTCTTTCTTTCTTTCTTTCTTTCTTTCTTTCTTTCTTTCTTTCTTTCTTTCTTTCTTTCTTTCTTTCTTTCTTTCTTTCTTTCTTTCTTTCTGTTTTTAAACTTAAAAAATCTTCCAAAATAGGTCAGGGGAAGTTGGAAATAATCCCTGGACTGGTTTGGATTTTAAAAGGAGGCAGGGAAAACTGGAAAAGAAAGGAAACCCCAAGGCCCAGTTCCAAAAACGAGTTTTTTGAAAGGAGAAAAGGCCCTGAGCTTTGAATCCCCTGAATGGTTTGGAGCAGGATTTCTCCTCCTTGGAAAAAAAAAACCAAGAGGGGTGGACTTCCACTCCCAGAATTCCCCAGGTTTAACAGAGTAACAGAATTGGAAAGGGCCTTGGAGGCCATCTAGTCCAGCCCCCTGCCCGAGCAGGGGACCCGACACCATTTCTGACAGACGGCAGTCCAGTCTCTTCTTGAAAGCTTCCAGGGATGAAGCTCCCACAACTTCTGAAGGAAACTTCTGTTCCCTGTGTTGATGGTTCTCACTGTCAGAAAATTCCTCCTTGTTTCCAGGTTGAATCTCTCCTTGGTCAGTTTCCATCCATTCTTCCTTGTCTGGCCTTCGGGTGCCTTGGAGAATAGCTTGACCCCCCCTCCTCCTCCCTGTGGCAGCCCCTCAAATATTGGAAGACCACTATCATGTCTCCCCTGGTCCTTCTCTTCCCTGGACTAGCCAGGCCCAGTTCCTGCAACCGTCCGTCGTATGTTTGAGCCTCCAGTCCCCTAAATCATCTTTTTATAGTGTTGTGACCAAAACTGGATGCAGGACTCTAGGTGTGGCCTTACTAAGGATGGATGGATGGACGGACAGATGATAGATAGATAGATAGATAGATAGATAGATAGATAGATAGATAGATAGATAGATAGATAGATAGATAGACAGAGATGATAGACAGACAGACAGACAGATAGACAGACTAAACTAGCCAGGCCCGGTTCCTGCAACCGTTCATCCGTATGTCTTAGCCTCCAGTCCCCTCATCCTCCTGGTTGCTCTTCTCTGCACTTTTTCCAGAGTCTCAACATCTTTTTTATAGTGTGGTGACCAAAAGTGGATGCAGGACTCCAGGTGTGGCCTTACTGAGGCTTCATAGAGTGATATTAGTACCTCCCTTGATCTCGATTGAGATTCTCCTGCTCGAGCAAGGGGCTGGACTAGAAGACCTCTAAGGTCCCTTCCAGGTCATTCTAGTCTATTCATTCAAGGGCTTCCAGAGGCGAACAGCGTTCCCGTCCTAAGAAATGGAATCGGCAGCGGCCATTTTGTTCAGGTGCCACCAGCAGATGGCAAACTTCACTAAGCTTTCGTGTTACTGAGCTTTTGCTATGAGCCCGTTAGGCACAATTTTTTTACGTTCGAACCGCTCTCCATTCCTGGCAAAAAGTCACACGGGGAGTCCTCGGCTTACGACCACATTGGGAGCCATGATTTCCGTTGCCGGACAAGCTGATATTTAAGTGAGTTAAGGCTGATTTTCTGAACTCCTTTGCCCAGGTCATTAAGCGAATCTGGCTTCACCCCCACCATTGATTTTTGCGTGTCGTAAGCTGACCGGGAAGGTCGACAACGGGGATTTATTTTTTTATTTTATTTGGTTTGTCAGTTGCTTACAAGGTAATAGGTATAAGTAAAAACATAGTGATGAATACATGTGTTAGGAATATGGGTCACCTAACAGCTATTTGGGTTAGAAATATATAAACCAGGATAAACATTTTAAAACTGTATATTTAAGAAAATGCAAAACTGTACTTAGGTGTGGTTTCTCAAACGGCCATAAGATGGAGCCAGAAACCTGGGTTGTCTTAGTCTGAGTCTCAGAAGAGAGTGTGAGTGTATCTCTGTTTCCTTCTGTTGGAAAGAGTTGCCGTTCCTCCATTTTGCCTGATTGACTGATATTCGTGGATTTGATCTAAGTCTGATACTGAACTGTTTTTGACACTGGAATTTGTTATTGGATTATCCCTGGATTGAAAGCTGACTGCTTTAACTGTGAATGTCTTTGGACTGCCTATTTTGGACTTTGCTTTAAACCTTTCTGGAAGTAACATTTACTGTACAGTGTATCTGTATGCTGTGTATGTATTATTCAAACACTATTCTCTATACGTCTCCCTGTATGCGCTCATTCTCCTAACGGGGAATTACCTCAACAACATGGGTGCATATAAGAAAAATAAGAAAAAGAAACAATAGGACAGGGATGGTAGGCACATTGGTGCGCTTATGCACGCAAGCTACAGACCACTTAGGAAAGGGGTGAGGTCAATAGAAGAAAATCTAAGGTTAAAGTTTTTGGGGTTTGGGGAAGAAACTACAGAGTCAGGTAGAGGATTCCAGACATTGACCACTCTGTGGCTGAAGTCGTATTTCCTGCAATCAAGTTTGGTGCGATTAACCTTGAGTGTGTATCTATTGTGTGCTCTTGTGTTGTTATGATTGAAGCTGAAGTATTCATTGACGGGTAGGACATTGCAATGTATGATTTTATATACTAGACTTAGATCGGACCGAAGACGGCGTAATTCAAGGTTTTCTAGGTCTAGAATTTCGAGTCTGGTGGCATAAGGTCTTCTACAACGAGTAGAGGAGTGGAGAACTCTTCTTGCGAAATATCTCTGGACTTTCTCAACAGTGTTAATATCAGATACGTAATGTGGGTTCCAGGCTGATGAGCTGTATTCAAGTATTGGTCCAGCAAATGTTTTGGATGCTCTAGTTAGTAGCGTGATATTACCGGAGAAAAAGCTACGTAGGATTAGATTAACAACTCTTAACGCCTTTTTTGGCTCTGTAGTAACAGTGGGCTCTAGCACTTAGATCATTAGAGATGAGTACTTCATGTGACAATCATGTGACCTTCGGATGGGCAAAGGAGCTTCAACGTCCTGCTTGCTTTGAATGTGGGGGGGAGGGTCTTCCACCTCAGCCCCCCCCCCCAATTCCCCCTCCTCTCCCTGGGGTGTTTGTGTGTTGTTGTTACCCCGCCCGCCTTCTAACGCACTCTTTTTGTGTTTGCATGGTGCATGCCGTCCCCTTGTGCAATTCAGACAGCAGTGAAGGTAACGTGTTCCCCCTTGAACCCCCAAAGGCTGTTTCCTTTCTCCCCCCCCCTCTCTTCCCCCCCCCCCCCTCCCCCCCCCCCCCCCCCCCCCACTTTCTTTGCATCCAGCTTTCCGGATTTCGCACGTCTTGTTTGTCCTTCTGCTGTTGGTTCATCACACCTGGCATTTGAACACCTTTTCCGCAGGGGGCTCCAGCAGGTGTGGTGGTCCAAAACGAGGGGTCCCCAAACGTGGCCCCTTTAAGACTTGGAGTACAAGTCCCAGAATTCCTCAGCCAGCAAAGCAAAGCCTGCTGGGGAATTCTGGGAGTTGGAGTCCCCAGGTCTTAAAGGGGCCGAGGTGGGAGACCCCCTGGTCTGCTGGCTGGGG